AAGAGAACCCTTGAACCACTACTGTTCCTTAAATATAGATTTCTGGAGGTCACCACATGCTTCTGTGCAATACTGCCACTGGACAGAGCTGTCACATTTTGTTTCCATTAGGCTGCATGCTGATATGCTTGTTCTCTCCTACTATTTCTCACTATTAGTCACTCACTTCAGGGTCATTTTAGGATGCCAGTACTTTCTACTTCTTGATTTCAGTGACCCTAGAAAAAGAAAAGTTGTTCCTAAATAAAGGTTTTGTCAGCACACTGAATAGTTTTTAAAAACTGTATGAACTGTATCAGTAGAAATACCAGGTTTATCTTGCACAATGCCAAGAAAACCAACGATGCCAGATACTGAATTTCTCTTGCACTGTCCTTTGACATTTTAGCTTTATCTAGGAATTAAAGAATTTGAAAATAAATCTGCTCTTATTGAGGTGGCCAAAAAGCACTTTGGAATGATCCACTGTCATCCAGGGAATGCAAAGAGAGGTGGTGGGTTTACCTGCTGGTAATTGCTGAAGTTGTGTGAGGACTTGAACTGCCTTTAAGTTTCTCTTGCTTTTCCCCCCCAATTTACACTAAATATGGCACAGGGGTAACACAGATGAGTGTCTATTAAGTAAAAGCAAAGGTTCTCTTGGCACTAGCGTTTCCAGCAGAGGACGAGGATAGGGCTAGGGGCTGGGCTGGTGCCTGAGTGTAGCCTGTTGTTCTAATATGATCCATATCAACATTACATGCATGGAATACCAATCAAGGGACAAAATTCATCCACTAGAAGCAAAAATCCAACAAATACAAGAATGTTACCATTTAAATAATAATGTTGCTATGTACATCAAGCCATAACCAACTCATAGCTGATCCTCCATTGGGATTTCATAGGCAGTAAATCATATGGGAATTGACAGCTTATCTTTCTTCTGCAGAGCATCTGGTGGATTCAAACTGTGTACCTTTGAGTTGGCAACACAATATCTTGCCACTCACTAAGCCACCAGAATTCCCTTAAAAGTAATAGTTTAGCAAATTTATTTATACGCCACTTATAATTTGTTCCATTTTATAGGCAAGAGTCTGCTTTCTCCCTGTTTTCCTCTGTCTACCCATCACCCTATATGACTGACTGCTTCCAGAAGAAGGATCCTTGTGGCCAAGTTCTAAGCTCTTTCTTGTGATGCAAGAACAGGGAATGGGCACACAGAGACAAAGAACTAGACTTCAGCTTTAGACAAGCATGTCAGACTGATTTGTGTCACATAATGAATGGCTGGGGGAGAGGGAGGAGGTGAGCGGCACTAGGAAAAGAAACCACAAGCCTGGAGCTGAGATAGTGATGGTGGTAAACTGAGAGGCTCAGAGCAGTGGGAGGATCAATTAAGATAACTAGGAATTCTATGGAATGTGAATTGGATGCTCTTTAATGGTTTTCAAAAAGTACAAAGATTGGAATTCCTTTCAGATGACCACTTCACACTAAAATTACATGCTTGTTCCAATCTCTTTCTGTTCTGAAGCTAAACTGAAGCAAACTCTATTTGTTTGGAATACACACATATGAAGCTACACTCTGTTTCATATTAGTATATTTTATTTAATATTATTGTAATACTATTTTAGAGTAAATGAGGGTCCACAAGAACTAATTTCCCCTAAAAGTGGTCTCTGGGGCACTCTGACTTAGTTTTAAATTGTAGGTTCTATTGGGACAAAACCCGTGCTCTAATGCTAAGACATGGTTTCCACAGTTTACCTGGCACAGCAATGGTCCACTCTTCACATTTGAAGGATTCGCTCGCCTTTGAGAATTCTCCTAGCCCAGCAAGGTTCATGGCTGCCACTTGGAACTGGTACACAGTGTTTTCCTTCAAATCACTAATCTGCAACATTAACAACATCATTAGGAGTGCAAGTTTCCATTTCCTGTTATTCTAGGTGTTCAACATTTTACTTTTTTCATTCCTGTGTCAAATACATGCAAAGGTAACTCCCAGCGAGTCAGATAATTTTAAAATCTCTTTCCTTTGAGGTGGGGTAAAACCCGTGACCTTTATCTTGCCAAGAGAATATGACATAAGTATATCAGATATAATATTAGAATGCATTGTCATGATTGTGTTATGTAACATTGCAAAGGAGAAAGGGTATCATGGTGGAACTTGAGTCTTTAATTGTTGATATTTAGTTAATCAAGAGGGAGAATATCCACAGTGGACCTGACTTAATCAATAAAACCAATTAAAAGAGAGGTCCAGACCCTTTCTGAACAGCCACACTTTCCAACTGACCTGGCAAAGCCAGTGGTCAAGTTGTGAACAGCCCAGGGAGAAGGGCAGCCACTTAGAGCTGGGGACCTCAGTACCACAGTGCTAAGAAACAGAAATCTGTCAACAATCTGAATGAACACAGAAAAGAAACCCAAGCCCCAAGTGAACATGCCACCTGGCCAACACCTGGATTGAAGAGATGACCCAGCTAAGCCATGTCCAGACTCCTGACCAGTGAATCCATGACAGAGTAGGTGTTAGTTGTTTTAAGGTAAACTGTAGGTAATTTGTTATGAACCAAAACTCATACTGAAAGGAAAAAGTTTTAAACAATGTCCCCACACCCAAGTATTGTGAGAACCTATACCTTTGATCTTGTGTGAATGTTTATGTTCCAGGAACTAGCTGACCACAAACTGAACAAGCAATTACTGGCAAAAACCATATTTTAACTAACGTCAGCAGCAGGTAACTGACCTAAAATTGAACTTCTCCTTTTCCA